TGCTCAAGAATTGTTTCAGGTGTTTCAGATTCTGAATTCTAGTGGAAAGGCTGATGCCAAGCATTCTGAAGAGCCCCACCATGCAACTGGCTCAGAATGCACCTTCAGCATCTCCCTGTCCCAAGATTTCACTCCTCACTTCTGGATGAATCAAAAATCCCCACACTTCAGTTGCTGTCCAGACCCCTCACAAACCCTACCCTAAACCGTTTGGGGAGGTGGATTTGACTTTTCGTCCCATCTCTTTGTTTGACTGCCTTGAAAATATTACACTATTTATCTACTGCTATCACTGTTATCTCAGTATGTTGACTTGCTGGGCATGAGGCAATGAATCTACTATGGTTAAAGTTTAGTGGAGAGCTAGCCTGGAGGCTCCTCATGGACATTTGTCCCTGGTTGAATGCTCTCTCGCTGCTGCGGCAAACTTGGAGATCCACTGAAGTCTCTGGAGTCTTTCTTGCCAGCATTGCATTGCCAACCTTCAGCTCAGGCTCACTTGCAGGGGAGAAATGGTTTCTAGAATGGGAAAACATCTCTGGTGAGGGTTCCCAAACACAACCAACATCCTCTTTTCCTTCTCCTGATCTGCTGGCCCTCTTAGAGGTCCTGTCACCTCTTTGGATGTCCTGTTGTCCCTCCTTCACAAAAGGCCCTGCTCAAGGACATTTTTATCAAGTGGAAGGAGCATGCAGGGCACTGTATAGGGGAACGACTACTGGGCTCTTTGGATCTCAGTTCTAAAATCTGTTTTTTGTTTGGTTGGTTGGTTGGTTGGTTTTTTTTGAAACAGAGTCTCGCTCTGTCACTCAGGCTGGAATGCAGTGGTGCAATCTCAGCTCACTGCGACCTTTGACTCCCAGGTTCAAGCAATTATCCTGCATGAGCCTCCCAAGTAGCTGGGACTACAGGCTTGTACCACTATGCCCCACTAATTTTTATATTTTTCCTAGAGACGGTTTCACCATGTTGGTTAGGCTGGTCTCAAACTCCTGACCTCGGGTGATCCACCTGCCTCACCCTCTCAAAAGGCTGGGATTACAGGTGTGAGCCACTGCGCCCAGCCTGAAATCTGGTTTCTGACTTGTGAGGCTCAATTACTGTTCTTGTTTTTTGTTTTTTTGTTTTGTTTTGTTTTTTTGAGACAGTGTCTCTCTCTGTTGTCCAGGCTGGAGTGTAATGGCACTATTTCAGCTCACTGCAACTTCCACCTCTTTAGTTCTAACAATTCTCCTGCCTCAGCCTCCTGAGTAGCTGGGATTACAGGCATGCACCACCATGCCTGGCTATTCTTTGTCTTTTTAGTAGAGACAGGGATTCATCATGTTGGCCAGGCTGGTCTCAAACTCCTGACCTCAGGTGATCCACCATTTCAGCCTGTCAAAGTGCTGGGATTAAAGGTGTGAGCCACCGCGCCTGGCCTGTCCCATGTATATGCGTGTTTGGGGGGCATCCTAAAGGAAGCACTAGCTGAAGCTCAGTAGACTTGATTCTGGGAAACTATTCTCTCTGCCTCGCAGTTGCTTTTGGTGAGCACCAACAGAACAACCAGCAGCAGCTTAGAAGCCTCCCTCAGGGTGGCTGTCTGCCCTGTATCACAACGAGTGACCATTCACTAGATTGCTGGCTGGAAGTCATCCCTTCCCACATGGAGTGGATCTAAGGCACTCAGACACTGAGTGGTGCAACCAGTGTTTTTGTCTTTGCTATATGTATATTGTAAATTTGTCTCAGCAGATATGGGAAATGCTAATCCTATCCCTTCAAACAGTCTGTTGAGCTGCATCGTACAAAGTTGGGTATCCATCACCTGGAAACCTACGGGGAAAAAATGAGCCAGGCATACTAGCTCACGCCTGTAACTGCAACACTTTGGGAGCTCGAGGCAGGCAGACTACTTGAGCTCAGGAGTTCGAGACCAGCCTGGGCAACATGGTGAAACTGCATCTCTACAAAAAATATGAAGGTCAGCCAGTAATGGTCATATGCACCTGTAGTCATAGCTACTCAGGAGGCTGAGGTTGGAGGATTGCTTGAGCCCAGGAAGTTGAGGCTGCTATTAGCTGTGATCACACCACTGCACTCTAGCCTAAGCAACCAGAGGGAGACCCTATATTTTAAAAAAGTATTTATTTTTGCAATATAGCCATCCCCCTTTACCCATTAGAATACGGGGAAAGTATCCAAAAAATAGATTTTGGTTGTTTTTCTTTTGAGATGGAGCCTTGCTCTGTCACCCAGGCTGGAGCGCAGTGGTGCAATCTTGGCTCGCTGCATACTCTGCCTCCTGGGTTCAAGCGACTCTCCTGCCTCAGCCTCCTGAGTAGCTGGGGCTACAGGCGCACACCACCATGTCTGGCAAATTTTTGCATTTTTAGTAGAGATGGGGTTTCACCATATTGTTCAGGCTGGTCTCAAACTCCTGACCTTGTGATCCACCCACCTTAGCCTCCCAAAGTGCTGGGATTGCAGGGGTGAACCACTGCACCTGGCCAAAAATGTGCAGCTAGACCTCTTCTGTAACAGGGAAAAAAAGTGGAAAGAAATCCCTTATGGACAGTGTTTTGTGTTGCTTTGGCAATTAAAGCTGATATAGAAAAATGTAATTTTCTGCACTGCACTACTGCATTGATCCTATGAATTCCATCCTTGGAGCCCTTGGAAGCCCGTGGATTACAGTTTAAGACACCTGTAGACATTGTCATTCCCTAAATGAGGAAACCTAAGTCATTATGTTTTGTAAAACAGTAGTTCACACACATTTAATAATTGAATAGTGGCTAAGAAAAGAACCACCGGCTGGGTGCAGTGGCTCACGCCTTTCATCTCGGCACTTTGAGAGGCCAAGGCAGGTGGATCACCTGAGGTCAGGTGTTTGAGACCAGCCTGGCCAACATGGGGAAACCCTGTCTCTACTAAAAATACAACAATTACCCAGATGTGTTTGCTGGCACCTGTAACCTCTGCTACTCAGGAGGCTGAGGCAAGAGAATTGCTTGAACCCAGGAGACAGGTTGCAGTGAGCTGAGATTATGCCTGGGTGACAAGAGTGAAACTCCATTCCAAAACAAAAAAATGAAAGGACATATCAAAGAATTAACAGAAAATAGTTAAAGGAATGTTTAAAGAATGAATATAATTTTCAAGTGATTTAAAATTTATATTTAAAAGGGAATACCTCCTTAAGAACTAAAACCAAAATCACTGTCCAAGAAGCTTCTGTTACAGAAACTGGTAGACAACTCTAGGAAGTAGACCCATTAAGTGGTTTCCAGAAATACTGGTTGGCTTACCTTCCTGGGCTGCGTTGGTAGTGGCTAATTTCTATAAATATAACAATACTCTTTTCCCCAGTTTAGTTTAGATTGCTTTCTAATTGGCTTTATATCCGAAAAGCTTCAGGACTTTCGGCTTAGCTCATAGAAAAGTTCATGGATGTATGCTTAGAGTCCATGTTAAATATTTTTCCATATTAAAAGTGGAATATCAATTATTTGAGAAACACTGGCTCATACGTTGGCTCAGGTGGCTTCTCTCTCCCACCTCTCTCTACATTCATTAAGTCGCTGCTTGAATTTAAGTCTTCAATAGAGAATGCTCTGGATGTGTGGGCCCATGACCTTCCCTCAGAATCGCCTCTCAAGTCATCCAAATCCAGATGCATGGAAGTGTTCCCTTTTTACTCTCCCTTGTTCCCCAAAAACTCAGAGAGTAGGAAGATGTACAGAGCCTGCTCTGAGACTATCTCTCTACCATCCAGTCCATCAGCACATGGTTTCCTATTACTCAAGGACTGCTTGGCGGGAGCTGGGGTTTGAAGATAAGTTCTGGATATGAACTGAACCTTCTGACATTCCAACAAGGTGGCCCAGTGAGAAAATCAACCAAGGTGGTTTGGCTAAGAGCAGCCCTTGGAGGTATTGATAGAAAAGGTTTGCAAGTATCTTACTTTATTCATAAATCATAACTTTGCCTAGTGTTGATGAACCAGTATTGGCCACATTTGCCAATTCGCAAGGAGTTGGCATGAAAAATGTGGTGGAAAATTAAGGCTGTGATATCAAAAGTAACCCGTTGAACACTTGGACAAACTCAGTTGAAGAGTTTGTGGTCTTGTCCATTTGAGCTGAGTTCAGGATCAAATCTTGAGTTCCTGAAAAACAATTTAGCTAGCACTTTGTGACCTATACTTCACGGTCAGATGTTATATATAGCAGCATTGTGGAAACTATGGCTGGGCTATGTGACATTTCAATAGTAAGCAGTAGAATGTCAGCAAACAGCTAAAGGGTATAATTTAAAAAGTGAGTAGAGAAATTTCAGATACTGGCTACCTAATCATTCATAGCTATTTGGCCACTGTTTTCACTAGATATGTTCCAGTGTAACATAGCATAATCTCGGAGTCTGAGTAGGGTAAGACGGGGTCTGCTGAGGATGCTCGGGGGATGACCAGGAGCACTGGAAGGAGACTGACTGAACTTTTTCACCTCTCAATGAAGGTCTCACAGTTCACATTAAATGTGGTTTTCCGGCTCAACCAGTAAAAGTGGCTCATGCCTATAATCCCAGCACTTTTGGAGGCTGATGTTGGTTGAACTCAGGAGTTCAAGACCAGCCTGGGCAACATGGTGAAACCCTGTCTCTACAAAAATTAATACAAAAAAACTAGCCAGGCATGGTGTTGCATGCCTGTAGTCCCAGCTACTCAAGAGACTGAGGTGGGAGGATTGCTTGAGCCTGGCAGGTTGAGACTGCAGGAAGTAGTGTTTGTGTGACTGCACTCCAACCTGGGTGACAAAGCAAGACATTTTTCAAAAAAAAAAGTGGTTTTCCTCAGTGAAGTTCCAATGTAACATAGCATAACCCTCCTGAGACTTCCTCAGAAGTTTTTCAGAATTGAAAAGCTGGCAGAAGCCAGGTCTCTGGTTGTTGCCTGATAGCACCAGATAACGCCTTTCTGGGGTCACCCAGGGTCTTGCCCTTATTTTGCGCCCTGGACTCAGCCTTTGATGTTTGTAGCCTTTGCTCGAGGCTACCGTCTAAGTGAACCCAAATGTTCCAGATGAGATGATTCAGGAACAGGTTCACCTAATAAAGCTGTTTCCCATCACCACCTCTGCTGCCAATCAGCTGGAGCGCTGCATCTCCCCCTGCTATTCCTTTCTCCACTGCTGCAGACTTCCTGGGCTCTGAAAAAAGGAGGACGCAGACTCTGCTCTTCAGATCCACACACTGATCCCCACTACAACCACTGACCTGAACTCGGAGTGTGCGTAGGGTAAGAAGGGGTCTGCTGAGGATGCTCGGGGGATGACCAGGAGCACTGGAAGGAGACTGATTGAACTTTTAAATAGCAAAGAATGGAGAAGAATCCAAATCATGGAAAACAAAGGCCTGAATTCCAGTCAGCCTCAGTCCCACTGATACAGGCTTTTCCCTGCCTCTCCCTTCCTTTGGCCCCAGTCTTTTTAAGCACAATGCATTAACACTGCTTGCATCCTGCTCTTCTAGCCTGTGTAGGTCTTTATCACCAGGACAGTGTTCCACAGATGAGGAACCCTGTGTCTGATGTGCGCATTTGACATTGTAAGAAGCGCTCTCACATATATGCATCTCATTAGACTCTCGCAGGTCTGTGGGGAGCTGTTGTTAGGCCCATCTGAGGACACCGATACTCAGAGTTGTCAATCAGGCTAAAGGTTCGGTAGGGCCAAGAGCACTCCTCCTGGCAAATGAGAACAGAGAGCTGGTAAAGGGTAACTTTTTCAAACAACCATACAGTCTATGCTGTGACCACAGTAGCTCTGGCAGGGGGTGGAACTGTTTTAGTCTTGGTGCCTGATTGATTACAGCAACAGTTCTATGCTGATATCCTTTTATGATGGCATTGCCAATAAGCTCTAACAAATGAAGATCATTTTTAATAGCAATAATTAGGGAAATGGCCCCTGAGAAGAGATGTGGATAGTTAGTAATAATCACCTTTCACCCAGGCTTTAGGGGAAGTGGTATAAGGAAGTCAAGGTTGGGAAAGCATCATCTTTCAGAGTAGTGCAATTGCAGCCTGGGCTGTGATTTCCAGAATCAATGCCTTCTGCCTAGGAACCACCTCCCAAGTAGCTACTCATCTTCTACATTTCCTTAAAATGCAACAACCCTTTCCACTTTGCAGACAAGAAGCTTAAAATGTTATTTTCTATTGGACACATGATCTCCTGAGAATGTATTTGGTAAAAGGGAGCTGGATAGTGATTGGCTCCTCAAATTAGGTAGAAGACAGGGTAGACAGGAGATATTTGACATTCTCAAAAGGTACTTCATCTATATTTTCCAAATTTGTGTTTGGCTCACACAGGCTAAAGCATATTTTTAGTTCTTAAAAACTGTGTGTGTGTGTATATATATATATATGTATATATATATATATATACGTATATATATGTATATATATATATGTATATATATACATATATATTTTTTTTTTTGACGGAATTTTGCTCTTGTCGCCGGAGCTGGAGTGCAATGGCATGAACTCGGCTCACTGCAACCTCTGCCTCCCAGGTTCAAGCGATTCTCCTGCCTCAGCCTCCCCAGTAGCTGAGATTACAGGCATGCACCACCACATCCAACTAATTTTTGTATTTTTAGTAGAGATGGGGTTTCACCATGTTGGTCAGTGTTGTCTCAAACTCCTGACCTCAGGTGATCCACCCACCTTGGCCTCTGAAAGTGCTGGGATTACAGGCATGAGCCACTGCACCTGGCCCAGAAACTGTATTCTTTAATGAGACTCATCATCTTCTAATCAGGGAACCAAATAGCAATATAGTGCCCAAGTGCCTGCTTGGCATGGAAAGGAATTTTAAGGTGGAGCTCAGCTCTCTGAGCATTGTCTGGATAATGTTTTTCTTTCTCTTCCCTGTAGACACGCAGGTGGCCCTCGTGACTGAGATGACATCCTCTCTAAAGATCTGGGGCCTGCTTTGCATCCTTTGCAGGCTGTGTGTACATTGCAACGACATTTATTGGAGAGAATTCATAAAGCTTCATTACTTAAGTCCAAGTCGAGAATTCAAAGATTACAAATGTGATGTCCTCATGAGAGAAAAAGAAGCTCTGAAAGGCAAGAGCTCTCACTTGTTCATCTACAGCTTATGGTTCAAGATTCAACGTATGTGCATTAATGAGAAGGGGAGTGACCGATATAGAAATGCATATGTATGGGCCCCAGGTGTCCTCAAATTACTCGAGTGTCACTGGGAGATGTACAACAATAGGTACACAGAGAGCAGAAGCTTCAGCTACATTGAATTCCATTGTGGCATAGATGGGTATGTTGATAGCATAGAAGACTTGAGGATTATAGAGCCTATCAGCAACTAGAAAGTCTATGCACATCCTCAGGTATTGATAGAGTATTCAGTGCTTCCCAAGTAGTGGGCCCTGCTTCCATCAATATCCCCTGCCACTCCCCACTTGCATTTATGTGTCAGTGTTTTCCAGCTACTGAGAGTTATGTATCTTGTGATTTCTTGATACCAGATCTTTGTGTGGTTTCTGTATCTGTAATACAATTTTGTCCTCATTTGCCTAATTTACATCCACATTTTTTCCAGGATTCAATTCATATGGCATCTGTCCTTGACTACCCTAAGACTTTTCCTGATATTGACTCTCTTTATACCTACCCAAGCTGAACGACCTTCCTTCTCTTAAATAAATTATATTGTTCTAATGTATGTGACACTTATATATGTTATGTATGCAGAGTATGTATTGTGTGACTGGTATGGGCATGGGTGATCTAGGCTATTTTTCCTATGGCTATGCAAGGGGTTTAGGGTGCATTTTATGTATCTGTGTCTAATGTATGTGATATGTTTATGTATATCATGCGGATATAAATGATTGTGTGCTGAACTGGAGGCAAGTAATGATGTAGGCATTCATTGTGGTATCAATTTGAAACCATCAAAATGGTCAAAATCCAGTTTTAAAGAGTGGGCTGGGCACTCGTGCCTGTAATCCCAGCACTTTGGGAGGCTGATACAAGTGGATCACTTGAGGTCAGGAGTTTGAGTCCAGCCTGGCCAACATGGTGAGACCCTGTCTCTACTAAAAATACAAAAATTAGCCAGGCTTGGTGGTACATGCCTGTAGTCACAGCTACTTGGGAGGCTCAGGCAGGAGAATCGCTTGAACCTGGGAGGCAGAGGTTGCAGTGAGCTGAGATTGTGCTACAACACTCCAGCCTGGGAGACAGAGCAGGACTCTGTCTCAAAAAAAAAAAAGTTTATTAAAGTGAAAGGCTGGGAATGGACATTCTGTGGTACACAGACTCCAGAGAAATGGGGTCAGTACTCCAAAATTGAAAATTAAATTCTTTTTTATGTAGGAAAAAGAGAAAGAAGTGAGAGAGGATTACATTTTCTATACCAGACTGGTTCAAGAGTTACAACAAATTAATTGGTTACAGTTTTGTCCCCCCACTATATGACTTGTTCTATTTATAGTTATTTTCAATTATTCCCAACTCAAAAGAACGTATTTAACATTCCTTCTTAGGACAATGTGAAAGCTGGGAGGCCAAGGTGGTTGGATGAGTTGATCTCAGGAGTTTGAGACCAGCCTGGGCAACTTGGTGAAGCCCTGTCTCTACAAAAGAAAAGCAAAAATTAGTCAGGCATGGTGGCATGTGCCTATAGTCCCAGCTGTTAAGGAGTCTGAGGTTGAAGGATGGCTTGAGCCCAGGAGACAGGTTGCGATGAGCCAAGATTGTGCCACTGCACTCTAGCCTGTATGACAAAGCCAGACCCTGTCTCAAAAACAAACAAACAAAAACAAAACAACAACAGCAAAACAAAAAAGACAAAGTGAAAGTGATGAAGTCTTTGCATGAGAAAGGGAAGAGGGGAGTTAATTCATAATGAACATCAGCAGTTGAGAGAGGATGAGTCTTCCCTGGCCCCCTTCAGTCATTTATAACATTTCACAAATGCAGGTAAGAAAGAGACTTAATCTCTAATCAGAGAAACCAAGGTACACTTGCCTTGGTTATAGCTGCCTGGTACATGACTCAAGCACCATAATCACATTCTTTTAAGGTTCCAAATAATTTAGAGTTCCAATAACTTAGATTTGAAATTATAGATTTTTTAAGGAAAATTTGTATTATTTTAATTATTTTTATGCACAGAAAACTCAACAGTGTACTTTTAATCCAGTTTAGTGGCAAGTTCTTTAGCCTTTGTCGTTGTGAGCTTGGCGATGTGAGCCACAGACTTGGGACGCAGGACATTGCCTCCCCAGTGACGGCAGATCTCATCGCATCTGTCATTGTAATTGGTCCTGATAGCTTCCATCAGCTTAGCCAAAGTTCCTTTGTCTTCTGAATTAATCTGTGTGAAGGCGACAGTGGTTCAGGTTTTCCTGTGGACTAGACGTCCCAATCTTGCCTTTCCCTTGACAATGCAGTAAGGGACACCCATTCTACGACACAGGGCAGGCAAGAAGACAACCAGCTCAATGGGGTCCACGTTGTGTGCCATCACCACCAGCCGAACTTCCTTGTTCTCCACCAAGGTGGTGACGGTATTAACTCATGCTCAAAGGACAGGTGGTCTCTTAGTGAGGACGTCCCCTTTGCCAGCAGCTTTCTTCTCCACCTGGGCCAACAGCCTCTGCTTCTTCTCTTGTTTTGTCTCTGATCTGTACTTGTGGGCCAGCTTAAACAGTTGAGTAGCTGTTTGGCAGTTCAGGGCCTGGGCGAACTGGTTAATCACAGGAGGTACTTTCAGCGGCTTATAGAGGATGGCTTGCTGCCACTGAAACCTGATATAGTGGGGCCATTTCACAAAGAGGGTGAGGTCTCTTTTGGGGTGGATGTCCCGTCCAATGCCAAAATTCTTAGACTCTTTCTCAAACAGGGGATTTACCACTTGCTTGGCCTCCTGCTTCTTCATGATGGCAGGGGCCGGAGCCACCTTCTTCCCCTTGGCCTTCTTTCCTTTCACCATCTTGAGGGAGAGAAGAGAGACGAAATTGTAGATTTTAACAGTGTGACACTTAGTTTCACTCAGATTTCTGGGTATAGTCAGAGCTGACGGTATAAGACGCATAGCATGGTTTCTGGCTTATAATAGGTACTCAGTGAAAATCATTTTCTTTCCCATCTCACCCACTGGTTTTGTACTTTAATTTTGATTTTGACAAACAATCGTTGTAAGTACCCGTCAATCATCTGCTGTCCCTGACCCTAGAGACAGGAATTTCTAAAACAAAAATACAGTAGGCTGTCATCTGTATAAAAGCCATACATACTCAGGATGAAAAAGAACAGTTACAGATGTCTCTACTAGATTCAATTCCTTAAGAATGTTTCTAAGAAGGTCAATGCATGTTAGACTGGCTAAGGCATCACATTTGTTAAGGATGACACACCAAGTAGAAAATACTAGCACAAATGATTTTATCTGATAATAAACACGTTCACTTCATAGAGACATAAGGAAAGTGTTGGAGGATGTTAAAATGCAATAGTCCTCAACAAGGGTGCCTAACACCTACATTGTGTTCACGGAATGAGGAAGGAAATAGGAGAAAGAAATTTGGGGTTCACAGGCTGGTAGGAAGCATTAGAAATTCTGTTTGCTAATTGTAGGGGAGAGATACAAAGTAAGAAATACTTGCTTTATATAATATTATCTAGGTTAAGTATGGGGAGGAAAAATGCTAAACATTAAGGTACCTTGTGTTCTTAACCCTCCTACAGTGTTGAAGGTTCTGGCCTTGAGACAATCAGGAAAAAGACCAAAGTATCAACATTATTCATGAGGTGACTGCACACCTGCCTACAACTCTGGCCTCAATGAGTAGCCAGTGTATCTAGATTGGTCATCATGTTTCAAAAGCAGTTCCTCAGCTTTGCAGTTTTTGAGTGCACCTGGGGAGGAGCAGACACCTGGGGATGACGATCTCTGCCAACCAAGCTCAGAAGAGACTAGTATTAAATCAGCAGCTCTGCATCAATGATCAATTTACATTTGAGGGAAAATAAATACCGTTTTTCTCATTTGATAAATGCTCTTCAAATTACAATGTAGAAGAGGAAAAAATACTTTCCTTCTACCCTTTTAGGATCTTAACTGGGGACCCTATAAGAATAGTCAGATTAACAAGAGAAAAATAAACAGAAATGTAGTAACATGTGTATCTCATGTATATGTGGGAGAAACTCAGAGAGTAACTCAAAGAAGTGGCTAGAACTTGGGTTTAAATGCCATCTTCAGCTAAAGCAAAGGAAAAAGCAAGTGGGGAGCAAATTATAGGGAGATGACCAGGAAAAGTATAGTAAATGAGGGAAGGGTTTATCATGCAGACTTGAGTCAAATACCTTCTCCACTGATAAGGGTCTCTTGTAATTTAGAGTCACCTCTCTCCTTCTGGCACAGGGAAGGAGATATCTGTAAGAATGGAGGTTTCCCTTGTGAATGCACATTTTCCTTACAAAAGGGTAATGTGTACTCTATTTTCAGAGCTTTCCTGTGTATCCTGTTTCTCAAAATAAGCAGTTCAAAGTAATTTTTGTGCTACAGAGCATACATACTTTGTGGTGGCATATTATTTTGTCAGAGATCTGGGAAATGGGAAGAAATACCTCATTCCAAGCTCTCATATTATTGCAAAATCAGGATTCAGGATGGGGCAGGGGGCTTCTGATGGCTGTACAAAGAGATGAGAAGGTCTTTCATAAGCCAGATATCCAGATGCAAGAACAAAGGGATGAAGATTTCTTTCAAATGGTTTAAACGCAGCTGCCCCAGCAGCTCCTGCCGCCATGGCTGCTGCACCACCTTCTCCACAACTACTCAGCTGCCTCAGCATCACCACATGAAGCTCTAAATTTGGAGGAAGGGGCTACTGCCCCACCTCAATATGATGAGGGAGTTGGAATGCTCTGTCTCTCCAAGACCCAACATGGCACTCAATTTGAACAGGGCAATACTGTGACTGGAGCAGGGCAATTCCCACTTAGGCAGATGCCTATGGGTGGCTCAGACATAGAAGTGCAATCTGTCACAATTTATAGGGTTAAATAAAACCCATCATCCTATAAATTGTGTTTTGCTTTCTAACCTGACTTTGGCATAACATTACAAGACGAAGAAGAAAAAATATTTTCCTAAAACATATTTCTTTGCCATATTTTGAAATTTCCCTGCAAAGCTATTCTTTGTAGGGGAAAATCTGCAACTGTGAAGAATCTCAGGCTGGGCGCAGTGGCTCACACCTGTAATCCCAGCACTTTGGGAGGCCAAGGTGGGCGGATTACCTGAGGTCAGGAGTTTGAGACCAGCCTGACCAACATGGAGATATCCGGTCTCTACTAAAAATACAAAGTTAGCCAGATGCGGTGGCACATGCCTATAATTTCAGCTACTCGGGAGGCTGAGGCAGGAGAATTGCTTGAACCCGGGAGGCAGAGGTTGCAATGAGCCAAGATCAAACCACTGCACTCCAGCCTGGGCAACAAGAGGGAAACTCTGTCTCACACACACACACACACACACACACACACACACAAAACTCTAATAGCATAGCTAGATCTTTTTCTTCCAGACCTTTCCAATCCTAAAGAGATTAAGATCAGAGAGGGAAAAAATTGTCATCTATTGTGTCAAAAGGAAGACTTCAAAACAGTTGGTCTCCACGATCTTTATTTTAACCTGAACATTCCCTT